TTGTGTCCTGCTTCCCTAGCCATACCCTGCTAACACGTATTGTATACAGTGATATCATGAGGGAGGTTTGTGTTCCCCTCTGTACCGGATCCTCTTCATCTTGTCAGAATTCTTGCCACATTCAGTTATCTGACTGAAACACAAACACACAAACAAACAAAAACAACAACACACACACACACACACACACACACACACAAACAAACAAACAAACAAACAAACAAACAAACAAACAAACACACACAAACAAACACACACAAAGTAGAAAAGTAGCCGAGGCAGAATATTATAACTGGCAAATTACACTCACTCAGACACCAGACATGAGCCGTTATGCCAACATTCACAGTGCTCTAGCCCCACATAGACTGTGGGGAATGTGTGAACTGTACCCAATCTCAACCAGACCTATGCACAGTCTAGTTAAACTTGGTGTATTACCTGTTGTAGGTGGATGTGCCTACTCTGTGACACCGAGTGTGATGATATGGTCAAACACCAACTCTTATACTGCTGCAGTTTATTCTCTAAGCGTAATGCACTTAGTGAACGTTTGTTTGACAATATGACCATTGAAAGTTATATACAATTCGAGGATTGTGATGACAGTGAACTCAAGATTACCACCCTCCTAGGTGGAATCACACCACTCATTGAAAACATGTCACTGAATGAGTGGGCTGTATTTATTGACATTACAGCAAAAAGCATCAGCTCCTGGAACCTCAAAGCCCTGCTGTATCTGTAAAGCTGAGATTATGTCAGAGGCTATGCCAGAGACTATGTTTGAATATGTAAATATGTTTAGTATTATATCCTAAGATGTTTTCATATATGTACTCTCCGTCTTAATGGAGGAAATAAAGCAGATTCATTCATTCATTCATTCATTCACATACACAAACAAACACACAAACACACACACAAACACACACAAACATACACACACAAACAAACACACACACACACTCTCTCTCTCTCTCTCTCTCTCACTCACACACTCACGTGGTAGGACAGGGCATAATGGCTGATATTGACGTACGTTTCAAAGGACAACGAATTATTGTGAAGTGGTGATCTTCTGCACGGTATGTCCGTGTTCCTGGGGGTAGCGGTGCATCACGCTGTACACTGTAAACCACGTTTAATCAACACCAATGTTCATCGCCCGACAGCTGGCTCCTGTCAACGGGGATGAGTTGTGATAAGGTTCAACACCCACCGGCCTTGTCATCGTGCTGAAACAGACGGTGTGTATAGTACACTTGATGTGATCAAATGCCAACTGGACACAATGTCTAAATGTTAGTATAGGAATGTGAGCCTCACCAGCATCCGTACAAGCTACATCACCGAGCCTCCGTGGCCGCCGCTGCAAACAGCGCGCCGGGCGTCCCCTCTGTATATCAAACTAATGTAGCACTAGTTGGTTAGTAAGGTCATGCACAGCACATTGCGACTCAACTCTACTTTTCAATTTTCCCTCACAATCCCAGTATTACACAGTCATGGATCTCGCTGTAGGGGTTTATTCAGATTCTCTGTGGAGCAACCCGGGTGATATTTCTCTCTGCAGGAGGGGGCATTCACAGCATTGATTAGATCAGCCAACTGTGATCGATTTGATTCTCGGATAAATCACACAGAACCAATATCCGATTGGAAGACGAACGTAACACAAATGTTTTATACCAACTAAACACGAAGCCAACAAACCTTGATCATCTCTTTCAGCGTAGCTGGCTAATCTGAACAATGTGTTTAACATAGTAATTGCTGCATTGTCGGGGTGTAGGAAGCCCCATACAAGTAGCGTCATCGTCAATATTCCCTGAGTGGCAGGCGTGAAATGTTATACAACCAGGGATCATATATAACTTAGACTAGTCGCGTTTGATGCCAGTCACAATAATGGCAAGTACTATAATTATGTAAAGTGCATACGGTTTTTGTTCGTTCCTAAATATGACATAAGAATAGGTCGCCATCAAAACCTGAACAGTGTATTCTGCATGTTACTGACAACGGAAATATCCTCATCAATGCCTGGAAATACCAACCCTTCATCCACAGTCAAGAAGCGGACTTTAATTGAAAGTTAGATTGAAAGAGGTGTTCCGTTCAGTTGCCATGAATTACACGTTTTTCAGTTTATGCATTGTAAAATGGAGCAATTAATGGCTTCGTTCACCCAGTCCTTGTTGTCATAGAAACCAAATATATACAATGATCGTGAATTTAAGTTGCTTAACCTATGTTAAAGCTACACAGTCCACCCACGATACGTTAAACCCACATTGCTTAACCTATGTTAAAGCTACATAGTCCACCCACGATACGTTAAACCCACATTCTACCAGTCCAGTCAATGTACAGCTTTAACGTGGGGTCTAACACATATTCTACCCGTCCAGGCTTCAATGTACAGCTTTAACATGGGGTCTAACCCATATTCTACCAGTCCAGGCTTCAATGTACAGCTTTAACGTGGGGTCTAACCCATATTCTACCAGTCCAGGCTTCAATGTACAGCGTTAACGTGGGGTCTAACTCATATTCTACCCGTCCAGGCTTCAATGTACAGCTTTAACGTGGGGTCTAACCCATGTTCTACCAGTCCAGGCTTCAATGTACAGCGTTAACGTGGGGTCTAACTCATATTCTACCCGTCCAGGCTTCAATGTACAGCTTTAACGTGGGTTCTAACCCATATTCTACCAGTCCAGGCTTCAATGTACAGCTTTAACATGGGGTCTAACCCATATTCTACCAGTCCAGGCTTCAATGTACAGCTTTAACATGGGGTCTAACACATATTCTACCAGTCCAGGCATTAATGTACAGCTTTAACATGGGGTCTAAGCCACATTCTACCAGTCCAGGCTTCAATGCACAGCTTTAACGTGTGGTCTTACCCACATTCTACCAGTCCAGGCTTCAATGCACATCTTTACCCTGGGGTCTAACCCATATTCTACCAGTCCAGGCTTCAATGTACAGCTTTAACGTGGGGTCTAACCCATATTCTACCAGTTCAGGCTTCAATGCACAGCTTTAACGTGGGGTCTTACCCACATTCTACCAGTCCAGGCTTCAATGCACATCTCTACCCTGGGGTCTAACCCATATTCTACAGTCCAGGCTTCAATGCACAGCTTTAACGTGGGGTCTAACCCATATTCTACCCGTCCAGGCTTCAATGTACAGCTTTAACGTGGGGTCTAACCCACATTCTACCAGTCCAGGCTTCAATGCACATCTTTACCCTGGGGTCTAACCCATATTCTACAGTCCAGGCTTCAATGTACAGCTTTAACGTGGGGTCTAACCCATATTCTACCAGTTCAGGCTTCAATGTACAGCTTTAACGTGGGGTCTAACCCACATTCTACCAGTCCAGGCTTCAATGTACAGCTTTAACGTGGTGTCTAACCCATATTCTACCAGTCCAGGCTTCAATGTACAGCTTTAACGTGGGGTCTTACCCACATTCTACCAGTCCAGGCTTCAATGTACAGCTTTAACGTGGTGTCTAACCCATATTCTACCCGTCCAGGCTTCAATGTACAGCTTTAACATGGGGTCTAACCCATATTCTACAGTCCAGGCTTCAATGTACAGCTTTAACGTGGGGTCTTACCCACATTCTACCAGTCCAGGCTTCAATGCACATCTTTACCCTGGGGTCTAACCCATATTCTACAGTCCAGGCTTCAATGTACAGCTTTAACGTGGTGTCTAACCCATATTCTACAGTCCAGGCTTCAATGTACAGCTTTAACGTGGGGTCTAACCCACATTCTACCAGTCCAGGCTTCAATGTACAGCTTTAACGTGGTGTCTAACCCATATTCTACAGTCCAGGCTTCAATGTACAGCTTTAACGTGGGGTCTAACCCACATTCTACCAGTCCAGGCTTCAATGCACAGCTTTAACGTGGTGTCTAACCCATATTCTACAGTCCAGGCTTCAATGTACAGCTTTAACGTGGGGTCTAACCCACATTCTGCCAGTCCAGGCTTCAATGTACAGCTTTAACGTGGTGTCTAACCAATATTCTACAGTCCAGGCTTCAATGTACAGCGTTAACGTGGGGTCTAAACCACATTCTACCAGTCCAGGCTTCAATGCACAGCTTTAACGTGGTGTCTAACCCATATTCTACAGTCCAGGCTTCAATGTACAGCCTTAACGTGGGGTCTAACCCACATTCTACCAGTCCAGGCTTCAATGCACAGCTTTACCCTGGGGTCTAACCCATATTCTACAGTCCAGGCTTCAATGTACAGCTTTAACGTGGGGTCTAACCCATATTCTACCAGTCCAGGCTTCAATGTACAGCTTTAACGTGGGGTCTAACCCACATTCTACCAGTCCAGGCTTCAATGTACAGCTTTAAGAATGCCAGGCAGCAGTTGCCTTTGTCGGACACAAGTGCATGATTCACTCAGTGCACCATAGGTACCCTACTACCCATACCATTTTAGATGATTTACATTGTAATAATGGGTTTCCTTATAGATATATATATATATAACTTATTTCAAACTAAAATCCGAACAGTTTAAGGTTCATGTAAACGACTAACGGAATTAACGTATCCAGCCAGATCTGTTTGCATGACATCAATATATTGAGTGCATAAAACTTCTAAACCAGCACGGTCTAACAGTCGTTTATGACACAAGAACCACAGTTGTGTGTAGTTGTATGTAATGTGTGTAGTGCATGTAATAGCTGCATGTAATGGCATGCGTTGATATGCAGGTGTTTAAAAGCGTCCATCAACCGTTCTTCCGTTCATTGTTTTCAGTAGGTTCAGCATCACAATCTGATCTCTGACTGATGTTAGCGTTTATCACGCTAGAAGAGTTAACCTGTCGTGAACCTGCTGGTGACCTCATATAAGTTCAACAGCTTTAATCAAACTATGGGAAACTATTATCTTGGTCCACCTGCATTGCGTGTTTTGTTTGTGAGTCTCGTCTGTGCTTTGCAGGCGATGACATGCAGCTTGTTGCGCGGACCTCAGACATCGTGACTCGGGGACTGCTGGAGGCTACAAGCAAGGTCAAGCAAGGCGGCAGCTTATATTCTTGTGAGGTTTGTATACCTTGATCGTTTACATGCAAACTGATCATCCTTCACATATACACATGGACAGTAGCTGTGACATCACAGGGCGTGGACGGTAGCCGTGACATCACATGACGTGGACAGTAGCTGTGACATCACACGGCGTGGACGGTAGACGTGACATCACATGACGTGGACGGTAGCTGTGACATCACATGACGTGAACAGTAGCTGTGACATCACATGACGTGGACAGTAGCCGTGACATCGCTTGGCGTGGGCGGTAGCTGTGACATCACATGACGTGGACAGTAGATGTGACATCACATGACGTAAACAGTAGCTCTGACATCACATGACACAGAGAGAGAGAGAGAGAGAGAGAGAGAGAGAGAGAGAGAGAGAGAGAGAGAGAGAGAGAGAGAGAGAGAACAGTGAAATACCTGTGAAATATAGACACCGCAGTTTGTGATGCTGGACTATTGCTCGACATGAAATGAGAGTTGATTATTGTCTTGTTTAGTGTTTTATCCCTGAATCTTAATGCAGTAATCTGAATATGAAACGATCGAGACAGTTTCTGTCGTCTCTTTCATTTATAGTTCAGAGTGTAAATCATTCACACCACGGTAATATAGATGTATAGTTTTATAAATTTAAGCAATTACTTTCCGTCAAATCACCAATGGGATCGATACTGCGATGTATTCTGACCTGCTTCCACCCTGAAACAGAGGTGGGAGATAGAACGTGCGAAGAACCGGTATAAAGATGTAAAACATGTTCTGTTGGAGATCCTCAACACGATTACCTCGACGAGATAGGCATTACGTTGCCATTCACCATGCTGCTGCGAGTTTATGCGATAAGCATATGCGAGAGATAGGTCAACAAGTAAATGATCGGAGAACCAGGAAATGCATCATGATAGACTCTATGTTACTGTGGAGGATTTGGAGGCGCGTTCTTTGATACACGAATCCGAATGATCTATTTTGTCACACATATTAACACTAGTTGATGCCCTAAAATGGCAATCGTGAGAGGATTCCTATATAACGGTGAACATGGCGGGAGAACGTCACGTACTGGGTGTTCTGGTCAGAATGCGATGTTTCTTTAACAAACACCAAAGGGAAAAGTATTGACATTTCCTGGACAAAAGTCGTATATATCTATTATCTCACTAAAGTCACATGTTATGGGGGCGCTCACACTCGCGCGGTAAAATCAATTCATCTCTTTATAAACTGATGTGCAAAAGAAAGTACACAGGTTGCGTTTCTTCCAATAAGATAAAAAAAACCCAACCTTTTGATGAAATGGAAAATGTATGTTGAAGCACACTGCAATACACGTGTTTTATCAGCCAAATGACATTGTAACAATAAACAGCGATGTAGTGATGACCACTACAGACGGTTCCTACCATGCTGGAAGGTCAAGGCCATTCAACGCAGCGGTCGGTAGGCCCATACATGCCAGCAGGACGAAGTCGTCTTGTCACTGTGAATCGGCTTACGCGATGACCCAATGATGTGGCTGATGATGACGTCACCGTCAACACCCAGTTGCGTAGGTGAATAACCCGCAGATAGCGATCCTCTTGGGGTGTTGTGACTCTGGAACGTCTGGATCGATCACATGTCTGGCCTGTCGTACTGAAACGGTTAAACAGCCGAATTATGGTTTGTCTTGTGCAACCCAATGTCCTTGCAATATCGCTGTTGAAAGCACCCATTTGTGTTATTCCTTTGGCCCGTTCTCGTTGCGCCGACGTCAATCTTGGCATTTCCTCGTGAGATTTCTTTCAAGTGATTGTTCAGTCTTCACGACAAACAGGTTTTATACCCTCTGTCAGAAAAGTGCTGGTGCATGGGACAATAATCACAATGTTGCAAAAATTCGTGCAAAACACGTACAAATGTTTTTGGTTGCATTTTGGCAAATGAAACATGATGGTTGCGTTCTATACAATCAATGTTTTTCAATAACTTTATTAGTTAGAACGCATATTTGGGTTTGCAACAACAATTACACCTGTGTACTTTCTTTTGCACGTCAGTTTATAAAGGGTGTAATCCTCCAGTGCTGGTTAAACGGGTGTTTTGTAAGTATTCATTGTATTTCCCAAACACGGGTAAACATTACCTGAAAAGGCTGAAGTAAGTATATAGTGTCCAGCTGCAATAAGGGGTAACTTTCGTTAATTCAACTCAAGTTTGTGTATGTTTGACATGGCAAAATGATTTTACTTTGACAAAAGTAAACAACACTTAGTCATTTATCGGGGATTTTGTAGACACACGGGATCTGTTTGGTGAAACTGTCATGAATAAACAAACCATTGTCCGTGGCAGGGTTAGACTAGACAGTCATTCAGCCCTTCCATCCTCTGTACATTCAGATTCAGGGTGGAAGTTTTCGGAACGCCTCTCCTTTACTGAGCTCTAGCCACGCCCTCAGAGCACGGCAGCGCGGAAATCGATATACTCGTGGCAAGTGTGTGGAACTAGACATACTCAAGCATATCATGTGATGTTTATACTTTATCAATAGGTTGAAACCCTTAGGATGATGGGGAGGTAGACCTGTAGCGCACTAAGGCCCGATATCATAGCCTCTAATCGATGTCAGCTCTATGGGAGGCATCTAGCTCCTATCACCACAAATTAATTGCCGCATTCAACCTAGTCTACGAGTCTATTTCCAGGGCCTCTCAATGACACACACTGTTGAAAGTAGGCTCATGTTTCTATAGGATTTCGTCTGCGTTTTAGTGTAGACTGTCTGCACTTGTCGCTTGCCACACGGTTAGTGCTACAACAAGGTGCTCTTTCGTACAATATCGTGCTCGTCACTGCTACCATATCGTGCTGCTCACTGTTCAATATCGTGCTGCTGACTGCTACAATATCGTGTTGATCACTGCTACAATATCGCGCTGCTCACTGCTACAATATCGTGCTGCTGACTGCTACAATATCGCGCTGCTCATTGCTACAATATCGAGCGGCTCACTTCTACAATATCGTGCTGCTCACTGCTACAATATCGTGCTGCTCACTGTTACAATATCGTGCTGCTCACTGCTACAATATCGTCCTGATCACTGCTACAATATCGCCCTGATCACTGCTACAATATTGTGCTGATCACTGCTACAATGCCGTCCTGATCACTGCTACAATATCGTGCTGCTCACTGCTACAATATCGTGCTGCTCACTGCTACAATATCGTGCTGCTCAGTGCTACAATATCGTGCTGATCACTTCTACAATATCCTGCTCATTGCTACAATATCGTGCTGCTCACTTCTACAATATCGTGCTGCTCACTGCTACAATATCCTGCTGCTCACTGCTACAATATCGTGCTGCTCATTACTACAATATCGTGCTGCTCACTTCTACAATGTCGTCCTCATCACTGCTACAATATCCTACTCATTGCTACAATATCGTGCTGCTCACTGCTACAATATCGTGCTGCTCACTACTACAATGTCGTCATGATCATTGCTACAATATCGTTTTGCTCACTGCTACAATATCGTTTTGCTCACTGCTACAATATCGTGATGCTCAATTCTACAATATCGTGCTGCTCACTTCTACAATATCGTCCTGATAACTGCTACAATATCCTCCTCATTGCTACAATATCGTGTTGATCACTGCTACAATATCGTGCTGCTCACTGCTACAATATCGTGCTGCTCACTGCTACAATATCGTGCTGCTCACTTCTACAATGTCGTCCTCATCACTGCTACAATATCCTACTCATTGCTACAATATCGTGCTGCTCACTGCTACAATGTCGTCATGATCATTGCTACAATATCGTTTTGCTCACTGCTACAATATCGTTTTGCTCACTGCTACAATATCGTGATGCTCATTGCTACAATATCGTGCTGCTCAATTCTACAATATCGTCCTGATAACTGCTACAATATCCTGCTCATTGCTACAATATCGTGTTGATCACTGCTACAATATCGTGCTGCTCACTGCTACAATATCGTGCTGCTCACTTTTACAATGTCGTCCTGATCACTGCTACACTATCGTGCTGCTCACTTCTACAATATCGGCCTGATCACTTCTACAATATCGTGCTGCTCTCTGCTACAATATCGTGCTGCTCACTTCTACAATATCGTGCTGCTCACTGCTACAATACCGTGCTGCTCACTGCTACAATATCGTGCTGCTCACTTCTACAATACCGTGCTGCTCAGTGCTACAATATCGTGCTGCTCACTGCTACCATATCGTCCTGATCACTGCTACAATATCGTGCTGCTCACTTCTACACTATCGACCTGATCACTTCTACAATATCGTGCTGCTCTCTGCTACAATATCGTGCTGCTCACTTCTACAATGTCGTCCTGATCACTGCTATAATATCGTTTTGCTCATTACTACAACATCGTGCTGCTCACTGCTACAATATCGTCCTGATCACTGCTACAATATCGTGCTGCTCACTGTTACAATATCGTCCTGCTCACTGCTACAATATCGTGCTGCTCACTGCAACAATATCGTGCTGCTCACTTCTACAATATCGTACTGCTCACTTCTATAATATCGTGCTGCTCACTTCTATAATGTCGTCCTGATCACTGCTACAATATCGTGCGGCTCAATTCTACACTATCGACCTGATATTTCTACAATATCGTGCTGCTCTCTGCAACAATATCGTGCTGCTTACTTCTACACTATCGACCTGCTCACTTCTACAATATCCTGCTGCTCTCTGCTACAATATCGTGCTGCGCACTTCTACACTATCGACCTGATCACTTCTACAATATCGTGCTGCTCTCTGCAACAATATCCTGCTGCTCACTGCTACAATATCGGGCTGCTCACTTCTACAATATCGTGCTGCTCACTTCTATAATATCGTGCTGCTCACTGCAACAATATCGTGCTGCTCACTGCTACAATATCGTCCTGATCACTGCTACAATATCGTGCTGCTCACTGCTACAATATCGACCTGATC